TGCACTGAGCCATGTCGATGAATGATAAAAATCAGGCCCAGCAGACGCTAGTCATTCTTGCTAAACTCAAATCGAGTTTTTTCGTTTGTATGTTTACTACTTTGGCAGACATTTGATCCTACGTAAATTGGGCATATAACAATACATCCATGGTAAGTGGAACTCTTCCAGTGTGGACTCATGAACCTGCCTTTCGAAACGCCTGATTTGTTCCAGCAGACCTTTCCCACTACACTTGTCCGCAGACGATGCCCTCCACCAGGACCACGCCACCTTGCAAACACACCCTGTACTTCACATATAGAGGGAAAACGCTCCCTGATGGCTTTTAACATTTCATCTTTCCATTTGGCAAAGATACAACATTTAGACTGAGCACACTTTTTGATCAGCAAGAATAGACACAGGAGACAATAAACTAACAATGCAGGTTTCTAAACCCTGCTAAACTATTGCTCAAGAGTGAGGATACAGACAATCTGGGGAAACTGTGATGGAAGATAACGTCTACAGTATCTCATCATCACCGCCTGAGAACAAAATTACTAGGAGAACAGAACCAAAACCCACAAACGAGATCTACCAAAAAAACAAAAAACACTAGGTGGTAAGCTATCTTGAGCCCTAGCATAGTGAGGGTACAAAAAACCAAGGCCAAAGTGGCAGACAAAGCAGACTCGTGGCTTTCAAAGGAATATGCTTTAGATGATCAACTGATTATGCAGCAGGACCAATGGAAGCCAGCGGGCAAAAGTGGCTCGAAGACAGTAACTCTCAATATAGAATTCTATACTCGGGAAAATTAATTTTACTTATTTACATACATTTTTGTTGAAGTACAGTTTACAATGGTGTCTCAATTTCTGGTGTACAGCATGAGGGGTGGGGGGGCAGCGGCTTACCCATGTCTAGACCGGAGGTCTTCTGTTTTCAAAGTCTCTAGCATGCCAGGATGGTCTGTGGTGTCTTTCTCCCCTCCCCCACCCCCTTCACAGTCTGTAAGGGAAACTTATTTTTAACTCATCTGTCTCTACATTTAAAGCACACCTCTTAGAGACAGTATATCGTTAGGTCTTATTTCTCCTTATACGTTCTGATAGTCCCCGACTTCTATTGGAGTGTACAGTCTTTTCAGGGGTATGGAGGAGGCGGCCCCAGAACTGAAACTCGTACAGGCACTCAGTCTCAGTTGAATGGATGCGACTCGGCTCCATAAATGGATCAATCCACTCATCTCTGCCTCCTTTTAGTCTGCCGCCTTTCTTTTCCTGATCTCCTTACTCCCAAGGTAAAGTCTGCTTAATACCCACCTCAACTTCCACTTCCTCCATTGAGCCATTCACTCAGGGCTCGGGGGCCATTCATTCACGGAGCGCTGAGTGAGGCGGGCCGCCCGTGCGGCACTCACTCGGGGAGTAGTAAGCGCTCTGATGAAGTAAGACGGGGCTGTGAGCGCGAACAAGGCTGCGGGCAGCGAGGCACGGGAGAAACGGCAGTAGGGACCGAATGACCAGGGAGGCCTGCGGTTCTCCACTAGGCATCAGGGACCGCGCCGACCCCGACCTCTAGCCCAGTGTGGCATCCGGACTGGCTGGTTACCGAAGTGATTGCCTCCTACTCTTGAGCACAGATGCAGCGGGACTGCGTTTCCCAGCCCCCCTCGCGGCTGGGCGTGGCCAGGTGTCGCCGCCTAACAGTAGCCTGTGAACTTCCAGCACAGCCCGTAAAAATCTCCCACACGTCCTTCCCATTCTTGAGACCTGAGAAGTCATAGACCAAAGATGGGAGAGTCACCGGATAAAAAGAACCTGGATCCCTGAACTCCGGCTAGGAGAAGAGCTACCCACCAATGAAGAAAAACCCATTTTGGAC